CCACTGTTTCAATTAACAATAAATAGCATAATCATATGATTTTATTGAAAAGTTATTTTCATAGTATATTAGAGTACATATAAAATGATTAATGCTTGATGGAATTAATAGCATCTGTTAGGAATTCCGGTTTTTTAGAGTTATAAATTTCTCGTAATAATAGAAATAATGATGATGATACCATATATTGAGTACCTACTCTGTCCCATTATGCTGCCTGGTGCTAAGTATTTTATGCTCATTTTATAGATGAATCTTTTGAGCAGTCAAGGAACTTTGATAACCCAGCTAGTTGTAAGTGGTAGCACCAGATAGCAACTCTTGTCTGTTTTACTCTGAAACCTGAGATCTTTCCATCCCTCTGGGTTGTCTCTGTGTCTAGTTCTGCAATATCAGGAGCTTTCATTATGGGCCTTTTATTTCTCTGGCATCTGTGGACAATTCCGTCTTCCTCCACAGGTGAGACTTCAGAAAGAAGGTAAAATGAAGTAGAGGTCTGGTTTATTCCCATGTAATGGATGTTTAAAAATACAGGGAAAAAAGGTTTTTTGTAGAAATCAAACCATAGTTTCTGGTCCATATAGAATGAAAGTTTGACTGACATCATAATTCATAATTTAACATTTACATGAGATTCCTACACAGAAAAGAAAACTATTCAAAAACTTTCACTCCTAAGTTAATATATATGAACTTTTAGCACATACATCTAATTCTACTTTACCATGAAAGGAAGAACATCATCCTATATAGTTATAGAATCTTACTGATTTATCCAGGATAAATCAGTAAGTGGGCAACAGAAAGTAATGGGAAGTGATCAGTACCTGATGTCAGAAAGAATCTAGGTCAAATAGTTAAAAAAAATCAAATTTATGACATAGATTAAGCCTAGTTTAAAATAAAAGGATAAAATGAAAGATAATATTTCATTATGAATTTAAAAAAACCTTTGTTAAATGAATATGATAGCTTTAAATCCATATACATCATACTCAGGCTTTCAAATAGCTCTTTCTAACTTACAGTGTGGTTTTAAATGTGACCTACTTAAATGGACAGAATCTATATTCCTACCAAAGGAGTGCATCACTTAGCTTGAAGTAATTTCTCTAACAAGAAAAACGTATTCAGAATGTAATTCAAAAAATCTTTAGGAATAAGACCTCCGAGTAGCCACATTGTAGTGCTTCAGAATTCATGCACTAAAGATTGTACTTTTGTTCAGAAAAGATCTCTTCAGGTTCTCACTGCCAGGTTATTTGTAATTATTTTATATTTTCATATCCTTGTTTTCCTCCATTCTTAATTCATAGCAGTTATGAAACAAGGAAAGGGCGGTTGTCATTAATTCATTTATTTTTCAACAACGATTTATTTAATGCCTGTTATGTGTACCTGAAATTGTATTATGTACTGAAGATACAGCAGTAAGAGCTGACAGTAAAAACATGTGAAGAAATAGAAAAGGTGTAATAAACAGATGCAACAATACAAAACTTAAAGTACTTTAGGTCCATTTTGTTTAATCTTCCCTCTTCTGAGAATGGATAGCCAGGCAGGTGTGGTTCTAGATGGGGAGCAGGGCTGTTTCTTACTTGAGAGTGTAGTTTCTTAGAAACCAAACAAATGTGACAAAGTTAAGAATCGAGTTGGGTTGGTTATAGTGGAGAAGCCAGAAAAGCGGGATTAACCTGCCCTCAAATATTGATAGATCTAAGGCATTGATCTCAAACTGGCGCACTGGGCCAAGGAACAAGGAGGTAGGAGCAGGGAAGGTAGCAGCGTAAGCTCACAAGCCAAAAGGTTAGCAGAACAAACATTAATAATGGAGTTGGATTTTAAACATTCTATTTTCACGAACATGAGGGGTGACTCCTGCATAACTGCTATATAAGATAATTTTATGGGTTGCAATCTGTGAGGAGGGGAACCTGGAAGAATCCAACCCTTTTGGGTGTGGCAAATCCATGTCTTCCTTAGGTTGTATGTTTATACTCATGTGTGTGTTTGGAGGGAAAGGTGGTAAGTGACCAATTATGACAGCCATCCTCCTCCCCCTGCCCAAACCATCCCTTGGCATTGCCTGTGCTGATAAGGCGATTCCATATTGAGGGGCATGGGGCAGACTGAACACAGGGCAGTACCCTGGGGGCTTTCACACCTCAGTAGCCTCTGAGGGCTTCACTGAATTATAGCAGAGTAGCAATGACAATAATAATGACCCTAGGGTATCAAAAAAGGTTAAATTATTTTATATGTCATTTATTTAAGAAAACAATGATTATTAGATTTACGCCCAAGAGGTTAATGTTTTAAGTTGTTTGTCATTTGGGGTAGGGGAGGTAGTTACTTTTGAAATTTACTTGATGAAAGTTCATTGGCTAATGTTGGCTGGATAAGTACGTTGTTGCTTTATGTAGCTTTGGTGATATTCCTGTTGTTCTGTGAAAGTGATTCAGGGCTAGCCCTTTAATTTCCATTTGTGATCAGAGTTAGTCTCCATAAAGATTAAAATTTGATTTGGAACAGGAGTGAAGGATTTAGTTCATTAGGCTTGAAATCACATTTATCACCTCATTTGAAATAAATACCTTATTAAATTTAAAAAGTATCTAAAAGTATCTTAAAGCTGGGAAGAAGTGACTACATTATCTCAAAATTCTCAGAAACTTTTAAAATGCTGAGGTCTTTGTACTGGGTCATACTATTCCCTGCTGATACCATGTCAACACTGAATGATGATATATTTTCCTTACGGCATTGTTTATAGGGTAGATCTTCAACCATCCATTGCTAACAGCATGTTTCTTTTCAGACCTGACAATATTACAGCCTGAAGGGTCATATTTTTATTCAAATAACAGTGTGGACTTGAGCTTCAAAGGAAGAAAAAAGTCAAACTATTATAGTTTGAATAGTTTAATAAATATTAAATGATAAATGAATCTGATTCTACAGTAGCTGCAGGGTGTGTGGATAATAAAAGAAAATCTTTAGATGGTGATAAAACAGTACTAGATGTCTTGCCTTTTATAATCTGCCTTTGCCTCTCTTACCATTATAGTTGTGGGAGTTGGGGAAGGATGAGGTAGGGATGCATGATTTTTGTTGCCAACTGAGTTAAAAGTAAAGGAAATTTTAAATGTAAAACTTAATCATCTCTTTAGAAGGATAAATACAGAAATGTCTTTTGTGTTTACTTGTATATTTCTTTTTTTTTTTAAGATTTTATTTATTTATTTGACAGAAAGAGCACAAGCGGGTGGGGGTGAGCGGCAGGCAGAGGGAGAAGGAGAAGCTGAGTCCCCGCTGAGCAGAGAGCCGACATGGGACTCGATCCTAGGACCCTGGGATCATGACTTGAGCTGAAGGCAGATGCTTAACCGACTGAACCATCCAGGCACCTCTACTTGTATATTTCTAAATGAGAATATTCTAGAAGTAGCTTATCTTAAGAATGAGAACCTGTTAAAGAGATAGGGAGTTTGAAGAATTTACATTTTACATTTATTTGAGGCATTTGTAGTTCTAGACAATGGTAAGGCCGGAGAATATCTGTCTTTATATTTGGTAATCCAGATATAATGGATACACTGTTAGATCCAATCCAATGCTGTGCTGATTCTTAAAACACTATTTCTATTTAAGTTATTAATAACACTATATACCCACATTGAGTATAGAGATTACTTAAAACAATAACACTATACATGTTTAAAATATTTTTCAGTATTCCTAAAAAGAAGTATTATATGACACAGTTGTTTTTTTTTTTTTTATAGAATATACCAGTGGTTCTCAAAGGTGTGGCCTGTAGACCTAGGAGTCCCATGAAACCCTGTTAGAGAATCTACAAGTTCAAAACTATTTTCATAGTAAATCTAAGACATTACATGCTTTGTGTGTGTGTGTGTGTGTGTGTATGTTGACGTTTATACCTATGATGCAAAAGAAATAGTGGATATAATTGCTGGGACCTTTGCATGAATCAAGGCAGTGGCATCAAACTATACTCTTCATCTGTATTTTTTAGTACCATGTACTTAATAGACTAAAAAAACCTTACTTCACTGAGGATTTCACATGATGAACCAGTTAAAATTATTACTGTTATTAAATCTTGACCTTTGATCATGTATCTTTGCAACATTCTACATGATTAAATGAGAAGAATGCATAAAGCACTTTTACTTCACATTGAGGTACAATGGTTGTCTCAAGAAGTACCTTGCAGTTGTTTAAGTTAGAAGCTGAACTAGATACTCTTTCATGGGATACCATTTTTACTTGAAATTACAACTGAAAAACTAGTTATGATTAGTCAGACTTAGGTTATTGAGAGACATTTTCTCAAAATGAACAAAGTGAGCCTGTCACTTAAAGGAAAACAACTGACAGCATTTATTACCAATAACACAGTTCTGGCTTTGAAACAAAAATTAAAATTTTGGAAAATTTGTATTTGCCCATGAGAACATGGGCAATTCCCAAATTTAAAAGATTGTTCTGGTGATATTAGTGGTTATTTTGTTTTTATGATAGTATGTAATGAAATGTGTCCGTGTTTGGAAGAACACATAACATACTAAACCAATATTTTCCAAATGGTGCATCATGTTATAAAATTATGCCTGGGTGTAAAAGAAGTACAAGAAAGAACAATGACTGTTAATGTAGCAGAGTAAAATTTTATTATATTAGAAAATTTATTATATTTATGTTGAAAATTAATTTGATTAAAACATATAAGTTCATGACTTTATTGATATGGTTCATAAAGTGCCTTGATAAGGTTTCGGATTCCACTGGCAACTAACCTTTAAAAAAACTATCACTTGTTGAGTTTTGGGATGATATTAAAGAACAATACCCACAATTATCTGAAAAGCTGTGACAGTACTCTTGCTTTTCCAACTACATATCCTTGTGAGGTCAGATTCTATTGATATACTTCAACCAAAACCACATATTACAGTAGATTGAATATAGAAGCAAACATGAGAATACAGCTGTCTTCTATTAAGCCAGACATCGAAGAGATTTGGCAAAGATGTAAAACCGTGCTCTTTCTTATTTTTTTTCATTTCAAAATCATTTTTTGAGTATAGTTGATACAATGTTATAGTAATTTCAGGTGTACAACATAATGGTTGGGTAAACATTATGCTCTGTTTACTGTGAGTGTAGCTACTATTTGTCCGTATACATTCCTATTAAAATGTCATTGAATTTTTTTTTAATTTTATTTATTTATTTGAGAGAGAGCATGAGCAGGGGAAGAGGCAGATGGAGAGGGAGAGGCAGACTCCCTGCTGAGCAGGGAGCCCAATGCAGGGTTCGATCCCAGGACCCTGGGATCATGACCTGAGCTGAAGGCAGTTGCATGGAGAGGGAGAGGCAGACTCCCTGCTGAGCAGGGAGCCCAGTGCAGGGTTCGATCCCAGGACCCTGGGATCATGACCTGAGCTGAAGGCAGTTGCTTAACCAGCTGAGCCACCCAGGCACCCCTGAATTTTTTTTTTTTAAATAACAGTATTTTTCATGAAAATGTTACTGTGCTGGAGTTAGAAAATCAACATTTTGCTACTATCATAGTAAAGACTGGTTCAGGCAGGAATCATCACTGAATGCACAATCTACAGGAAAATTTTGAAGAAGACCAGGATGTTTTCCTGGCCATAAAAAGTCTCACCACATATTTATTAGTGACAAAGGAAAAATTAAAAAAGAATAATACTTAGCAGAGAAATTCAAAGCACCTTGCCCTGGCGATCAAAGTCACCATTTTTGAGAAGCCGTTGGACAGTGTGTACTTCATATGTGACAACTGGAGAAGGATAGTGTTCTAGTTGAGAATGCATCGCCTAAATCAAATCATGAGCAAACATTTGACAATACCAAAATGAGATTCATTATTTTTAAAAGATAGACATGGTATTCTTCAAAATTGTCAGGTCATAGAAGACAAAAACTGTGGAAATATTCCAGATTAAAGGAAACTAAAGAGAGATGACAACTAAATACCATATCTGACCCTAGGCTGGATCCTGCATTAGAGGGCGAAAATCCTATAAAGGGCATCGTTGGGTTAAATAGACAAAATTAGCATATGGATGGTAAAGTATTGTATTAATGTGGCATTTGCTGAAGTTGATAACTATACAGTGATTGTAAGAGAGTATCACAATTTTAAGGTAATATACACTGAAATTTTAGGGGTTAAAAAGGAGCCTTCATGTTCGTAACTTACCTTCAGATAGTTCAGAAAAAAATTAGGTATAAATATAAACACCTATTTGTGTATATATTTGTGTGTTAAATATGTGTATACATATACACATACACAGACATGTATACATACATAGAATATATATGATTTTTTAAATGGGTAAAATGTTAATAATAGATGTATCTGAGTAATCTGCTGTTATAGAAGTGTTTTTAGTACTGTTCTTCAAATTTTCTGTGTTTTGGTTATTTCCAAATAAAAAGTTTAGAAATTAAATGCAATAACTTATGTTAATGTAATGGGTTCATTGTTGTTTTTAAATGAGTTAATATATCTTTAACATTTTTCTTAGTTTTGTTTCTCATGGAGTAAGCATGAATATATCTAATCCATATGAATAAAGCTCTTTTGGGGTCCTTGATAATTTTTTAAGAGTGTTAAGAGGTTCTGAGACCACAGATTTGGAGGACCATTGGTATAGACTATGTGTGGGTAGTTAGGTAAGTGTTCCTCTCCTCCTTTTAAGGTTATTTTATGATTCTAGTTAATGAGAGCTCATTTGGTAGATGCCACTAATCACTTAACCTCTTTATGCCTTAGTTTTTATATTTTTAAAATAGGGATATAATATTGCCTAATCTCAGAGGGCTATTGTAAGGTTTAAGTCAGATGTCTATATAAGGCTCTCAATTAATGACCACTCTGCTGTGCTGTCCTTATTGGCAATGTGTGTTTCTGCTCTGTTATTGCTTCTTTTTGCCATTTGTGCTTTGGCCAGTGATTTTGGTTCTAAATATATGCATATGAGCCACCACAAAGAAATCAAAGAAGAGTATCAGATAGTTCTTAAAATGCAAGTTTACAGTGGTCATGCCCCTTCAAAGAAATGATTAGGGAAACATAGGATGAAGATGAGCAAGCAATTTCGGATTTTTGGAAGTCTCTTATATAAGAAAGAGCATCATAAACTTGGGAAGTTGGACCAACGATTGTATGAAGAGTGGTTGATAGAAAATATGACTGGACAGAAAATATTTCCTCATTAGAGACAAACTGTAACCCTACTTAGCACCGTTTCCATGGTATTTCAAATTCCAGATAGGCATCATCTGATTAAATGTGTATGTGTATATTGGGTTAATTAATTTGTTGTAAGAATATATACTTAAGGTAAAGAAAGAATACTATTGTTTTGTGACATTTTCACTGTTGTCTTGGCCCTGTCTAAATTCAGCTCTATGCTTTATCTCACTCTATCAAACATCAAGCCAATGAAAAAGAAAGAAAATTAGATTGTTAAACTATATTATGTTCACCTAATTGCAAATTATCACTTTTTTTTTGAAAACAAGCGTGACTTTATTCTTTTCAACTTTCTCTCTTTTACAGATAACTATAACTGTTAATACAAGAAATTATCACTTTTTAAGAGATCAAAAGATACATAAATGTCAAGGCTTTGTCATTTTGATATGCTATTTATTGTCTTTTAATCTTTTTTACTAAGACTTAACGATTTATTTTTTTAAACAGATCATCAGAAACTGGAAAGAGAAGCTAGAATCTGCCGTCTTTTGAAGCACCCCAATATTGGTAAGGAAATCTTTTCAATGTATTTTAAATGTTAATTAAAGTTTATGTTATGTATTTTTTAACCACAACAAAAATGTTACTTTAGTAATCTAGACTATTTGCAACTTCTAAGAAATAAGTTCCTAATTTTTGGTTTTGGTTACATTTGATTCTTCTAAGTTTTTGAAATGTTTTTCAAAAGGTAGCAGTTAATATTCTAATACTTTAAAATAATACAAAATATTATTAATTGAATAGTGCTTTTATGTGTCTTCAAGGATTGTTCAGCTGCTGCTGCTGAAGTTTGGAGAGACAGAATTTATGTCATTGTTTTAGTCAGCTAAATTACTTTTTACCTATCCTGTAAGGAGTTTTTCCTATAATTATTGATTTTCTTCCAGAAACTAGTAAAATTATTTTACAATATTATCCCCCATGAATTATGAAATAGCACGATAATGTTCAAAATAAAAAACTGATGAGTATAAGAAAAATAGAAGCAACAAAGGAAAGAAAAAGAACAACAAGAAAAACAACAAAAAGAACAAGAACATGATTCTGTGAGAGTAGTTTTGATTATTTTAGATGAATGTCACTGCCCCAGCTCTGTGAGTTTTATTGTCAGCCAAATTATTTGTGATGTTGTAGAAGTTGTGAGAGAGGGAGTGATAATGCAGTAGAATTGCAAAATCATTCACTGAGAAGGTTTATGTTCTTCTATTTTTGTGAATGGGACCATTCAATTTCTATTCCTGACTTGAAGTTTCTAGTGTCCTGCATACTTCTTAGGTTCTTAAATGAATGAATGGACACTACCAAGTAAATCTGAAGCATTAACAAACCAGCAGCTGTCTAATATGAACCTTCTGGTTGGAGAGAGAACAACTCTAAAATGTAAATACATCTTTACAAGTGTTTTACCTGTGACAGTCTTTGGCATTTCTTGGTTGGCTATCTTATTTTGCTAGGGCTGGCATAACAAAGTACAAGATGGCTTTAACAAAGAAATTTATTTTCTCATAATTCTGTAAGCAAGAAGTCTGAGATCGAGATGTTAGGGTTTGTTTCTTCTGAGACCTCTCTCCTTGGGTTGTAGATAGATGTCTTCTCCCTGTGTCTTCACATGGTCTTGTCTCTGTTGTAATTTTTTCTTCTTGTAAGAGCACCATCATATTGTATTAGGGTCCACCCTGATGACCTCATTTTAACTTAAATGCCCTTTCAAAGACTTTATCTTCAAATACGGTCACTTTCTGAGGTCCCAGGGTTGAGACACAATTTTGGAGAGACACAATTCAGCCCATAATATTGGCTAATGAGAAATTACATGGTATGACCCACTGTGGTTCAAAGAGCACTGTTCTTGCTCAGGTTTAAGATAAAGTGAAATTTTTGTTTGGTTTGCTTTGTTACTCTTGTGAAGAAGAGTTGTTATTTGTTTTGTTTTTAATCAAGATCTTTCTGTGAAACTCGGTTTTTGTAGATAATGAAACTGGTTGTCCTCATTTCCTCCAGGAGACCAAAGTCAGACATTCTAAAGACAACTCAAACTAAAACAAGAACAATTTTCATTTTGAAACCATGCTGAATAACCTTACTAACAAAGGGGAAGTTGTACACTGGGGAAAGTTCTAGTTTTTTTTTTACATGGACAGCACCATTAACACACTCTGACACTACATATAATTTTTTTCAGTGGTGCATAGCAGCCAATGCCATGGCTCCCTGGTCGCCTCACTTGAGGTTTTCTTCCATCTTTCAAGATTTCAGGGGTACAAAAGCAACTATAGAAGTTTCAGGTCCTTGAATTCTGAGATCCATTTCTAATCACAAGAGAGATTTTTTAGTGATCCTATACTACAAGATGGGAATCATAAATAGATTAAACTTCTAAGACACACTCTCAAAAATCATAACAGGGGCAAATTACTCATATTATTCATTCACTCAACAAACTGATTTTCTGGGAATACAGTAGGAATACAACAGACCATTATACCTGCCCTCACATAAGTTGCATTTTTGAGGTAGACAGACAGTAAACAAAGTATAGGATGTTATATTGTGATAAGTACTGAGGGGGGAAAAAAAAGCAGGGAATGGAAATTGGTTATGTTGGGGGATTATGATTTCAGATAGTTTGGTCAGGATGACTTAATTGAGAATGAAATTGGAATAAAGACCTAAAAAACAGGAGGAAGCCAGTCATTTGGCTCTCTGGGGAAAAAAGCATCAACAGATAGAGGGAACAAACAGCCTTTGTAAAAACCCTGAGGCAAGAATTTGTCCAGTCGATCCCACCAAAACTTTTTTTCTAATTGGAGAAATGTGGATGAATTATTTTTCCTTCTACCTTATCTTGATTGATTATCTTAATTAATCTTCATGTTATGCAATTTGACAGTGTTGTATTTACTCACACAAAGAGAAATGATTAAACACCAACAGTAATTGTCAAAAAGTAATAAGCAGCAGTAAACAAAGGACTGCTTTAAAGATAGATGCCATGATGGGTATCTGAGATTATACTGGAGAGTAGGGAGAACAGAGTGGTAAGCACAGTGCTGCTGTTCCCATTGGTTAACAGTTTTCACATAGATCACTCGCACTTACTTGCTTACTGCTGGTTCAGTTTACTCTGGTAAAACAGCATTTGGTCTTGATTCTCCTGAAATAGGTAATAAAGTGATATCTAGTATGAGACTCTTACCTCTTCTTCCCTTTTCTCCATTCTGTTATTTGCTCGGTTATCTTAAAATCTACCAGGTTTTAGAACTTGAAGGAACGAAATGCTACTTTTGACGATTTTTCCTCCAGTGAAATTTTGCTTGTTACTTTTTTTTTTTAATGTGCCTTTCTCTTGGCACAGAGTCAGTAATCTGGGAACTTGCAAGTAAAAAGTTTCTCTTGAAGAAACACATAAACCAACTAAAATTGGTAATTCATAAACCACTCTTTTTTTTTCTTTAGTGTTTTTTTAATGTTTTTCTAATTTTCAAAGTAAAGCACAGTGGAAAGTTTGGAAAACACAGTGATGTCTGAAGAAGAAACCAAAGGAAACAACTTTTAATATCTGTTGTGTTCATTTCTACCTTTTGTTGATAAATCTTATGTGTATGATAACTTCCAGTATTCTCTTCTACACATCTTCATACCCATTTAGGTAAACCATGAAAACATAATTTTTCAAATTATCTTACTTAACAAAATTTATTTAGTGTTGTGGTCATTGCCAGCCATGTTCTAGGCTCAACACACTGGTGATGAAGTGGTCATCAAGAGAAACAATATCTCTGCTTTCCTAAAGGTCACACCCTAGTGTAAGGAGATAGGCCACAAAACAAAGGGCCATCATTATAATGTCATAGAGATTAGTTCTATGCAGAGAATTAAAATAGCGGAAATTGACACCAGGGGATTGGGTGGCTACTAGCAAAGAGGGACAGAATCAGACACTCGTTTAAGTCATTAGGCAGATTTTATTCAATATTACTGCATTAAGAGAAAGAGCTGAGCTCAGTTCCAAATACAGCAAAGACAAGTAGGGATTTATAGCCAAGGAGCAGAATGAGAATTGAAAATTGCTGAGAGGAGATAGCAAATGTAGGGGGATTCTTACTGAACTTACTAAACTACTGACGAGGTTCTTATTAAAGGAGGGCCAAAGGCTTAGACATCCAGGGCGAGGGATGAAGAACTTGATCAGATGTCAAGGGTGATCACATATCAAAGATGGAGGGGTGATTTTGTAGGATTCTTCGCTAAGACTAGCTTAGGCAGGTTGAGTATAGGGCCCAAGACAAGGCCTAGTCAAAAAGAGGGCTCAAGGAGCCTGCCTAATTTTGGTCAAGGGGACAGTCTTTGTTACTACATTGAGTGGCTTGTCAGGCAAGATATGTCTGCAGGGGTCACATTTAAATTGATATCTAAAAGATAAGAATCCATCATGAAAAAGCTCAAGGAGAAAGGGTTTCAGGCAGAGTAAACTTATCCTATTAGAGGAAGAGGCAGAGGATCAGCATGTAGCCTACCATGAGTGAAAGAGAGAGAGTGACCTGAGATGGGTCAGAAGGATAGGTAGATGCCTGACCACGTAGGGCCTTGGAAATCAGGTTAGAGCATTTAGGTTTTATTCTAAGTGCAGTGGGAAGCCCATAGAAGGATGATAAGCAAGAGCGTGTCATCATCTGATTTGTTCTGCCTGCTGTGTGTAAAATGATTGTAGTCACATGAGCACAATCAGAGATAATAGTGCTCCATTAGTTCATTAGAATCCAGTGTTTATCACCCTTGGGTCCTTCTTTTCAGCAAGAATTTAAATAGATCCAGGCTGACCTCTTTTCTGTGTGTTCCACATAGTCCATGAAAAAAGTACAATGCATTTTTTGGCTCAACAAATTTGGGAGTGCAGGCAATTTCCTAAGCAGCAGCATCTTTGTCCCTGTCTTCAGAGCAGCTAGCCAGACTATTTTGTTTGAGCCCCAAACTAGAAAGATTATAGCTAACCTTATCTTAAGGTGTTGAAGCAGTTTGGAAAGGACATCCTACCTCAAGCTTCTGTTAATTAGCTTATTTTTCATTATTATGTTCATCCTTTCTTTTAATAAAATGGGCTTATTTTCTCGAGTTATAAGCAGATTCTGTGGTAAATCAAATAGTCTGAGCTATATATTAACATATCTACTAAGTGAAGGAAAATAACTTTAAGGTAGTGAAATAAAATACTTGAGGTAATAGCCAAATTGTTCTCAAAATTTTATATTTCCATTGTTTTTGTACTTGATCTTTGATGAGCATTATTATTGAGGAATTTTTTGAAACTCATGGCAAAATCCAAATAAAACAAGAGAAACTAGGGAGATCAGGCAAAACAGTCATTTAATGCAACTGTATAAATCTGAAAAGAAGTGGGCCACGAAAGGAAAAGAGAAAATATCAGGAACTTTGATCTTATTCATCTGAGGTCCCAAGTGAGAAAGATACCCACTTATTCTTTATTTGTATGGAGATCAATATTTGAG